TCAATGACCTCCTTCTTCAAACCATGCATGGACATTCCTTTCCTAATGGAAATAATTTTCGGTATTGATGATTGAAATGTGAATCATTTGATGTCGATGAAGTCCATGACACCATCATAATGAACAAAGGGCAATTTGTGAAGACATAATTTTGTATATGTAAGTGAGACAAAGTTTTAAAGATAGGTCAAAGAAGGTTTCACAGAAAGGTGGAGGAGAGTTTTAGAGATGGGTCAGACAAAATTTCATATATGAGTTCAAGAGAGTTTAAGAGAATGGGTGGACTGGTGAAGTCTCTACCTTAGGTATTTATAAGAGATTCAATTTGTCAAGTCCCAACCACCATAATTAATACAGTCAAGTCCTAACCACCATACTTAATACAATCACATCCCAACCACCAAATTGAATATAATCAATTCACAATCACAAAATTTAAGACAATCAAGGCACAACTACCAAATTTAAGACGGTCAAGACATAACCACCAAATTTAAGACAGTCCAGACACAACCATAAAGTTTAAGATAGTTAAGGCATAACCACCAAATTTAAAGCAGTCAAGGCTAAACCACTAAATTTAATATGGTCAAGTCATACCCAATTTGATGCATGCTTCAATCGAGGTGATGATGTGACACATGCAAATTGTGACAACTCATTGATGCACATGCGGACCGAGGAGCTGATGTGGCACACACGTGGAGCAAAACTCGTATGCACTCTACTGTGCTCGTGGACCAAGGACGTGATAAGATACTGATCATTAGTTAGTCAAGGACATAACAAAGGAATTAACATGGCACACTTGTGGAACAAAGCTTGCATGTACTCTATTATGCTCGCGAATCAAGGACATAACAAAACACTCACGAGTAACTCAAGCACCCAGTCTTGTAGCTGATGTGGCCGTGAAAACTATTGACTAAGGTTAGAGATCATACTAAATAATTTTATGAAGGTTCCACATAAAGCCCATGGAAACTTTAAAGTGATAAGTTATGTAACATGTCATTTTTTTGTGATTTTTTTTTTCACTACTTAGGATTGATTTTTCTTCATTTTAGCAAATTTTTTTAACTTGAATTTGTTACCATTGAATTCATTATCGTGAAAATTATAGACCAAAATCGGAGATCATATTAAATAGTGTTATGAAGGTATCACATAAAGCCCATAAAAACCCCCAAGTCATAACTTCTATTCAAGATAAATTTCCTTTAATGCACGCCCTCACACACTGCCCTAGGTCTTAGCAAAAAGTAACGATCATGATTAAACCTTCATATATTAACTACCAAGAAGTCCTTTCTCTCACAAAATCTAGACAACCTTCACATAATTGACATGTGGGGGAGAGCCAATGAAAATTGGCAAATAAGACATGTCGAATGGATCAATATATGGAACAACAGACAATATCTTGTACTAACGGATCTACCAATGCAATGGTCTTTCTATCATAATAGAATACATGGAATTATACATTATCAATTCCATTTGTTTGTTGTATGTGCCATAACTATTTTCATATCCAAGAAACCAATAACGTGTGCGAAGTCAATCACACACATTGAAAATGGGCTCATCCACTACGTCATTATTTCATATGCCTTCACACCAATCTTCACAAATACCGCCTATTGGACACCTCCACCACAATCGACAATGGATAGTACACAACTTTCTTTTGCTTTAAGTTCATATGACCTTTTGTCAAATTTATTTGGAGCAAATCTTACAACACCATCATATATGCTCATGCTTACATGCAATCAATGTATCCATTGTATTATGATCACAAAGGAATTAGTTTCTCTACCTTCCTCATGAAGCACCTAAAGAACAACCACCCCAAGAACAACAACCAAGAAGAAATCAAGGACGTAATAGACAACGTCCTCATTGTGAAATTGGTCTCCATTATGGAGACTAATTTAATTTTTCTATAATAAATAGTAAGTATACTCATGAAATTTGCTTAATAAATTGGAGACAAGTCATTTGTAGATTTTTTCATTAAATATTATTTTTAACCATCAAGCTTTACTAATACTTTATTTGTAGTCAATTAAAACTTATTATATGCTATATAAAGTTCTCATTGTCCAAGATTTAAGTCAAAGTAAATAGTATATTACTCATGATAAAACTCCTCTGCACCATACTAATGTACACTGCCCAATATGTCAACAAAAAGTAACAATCAAGATTATATCCCAAAACATCAACAATCAAGATTTAATCTACATTGTCCAAGGCCAACCTTAACATACATGGTATATTGTTCAGGACAAGATTCCTCTATACCATATATTGTTGAAGGTGTTAGCAAAAAGTAACGGTTACAATTGAATCCCCAAATATCAACGACCAATATCTAATACACACCACCTAACGTCAAAGTCAAGTCACCATTACGTTGTCCAAGACCCAACTTAAAATACAAAGTATACTAATTTATTATGGAGATATTTTTGTCTACCTAATACAAGTACATGACATATATAAATTCGGGTTTGCTCTCGTCAAATATTCGTCCACTTGTCTTACCTATCAACTTATTTGTCCAACATTTGTTTCTTCTTCTTTTTACTCTTCAAATGGAGGAGCTTGACATCACAAACACCTGGAAACTTTGATAACTCTTATCTTGCAGTAGTGTTTGCAAATGGTCAAATCACAACAAATGAGGAAGTGACATATTTTCAATGTGCATTTCATAAACTTTGTTGAATTCCACACAATTGAAAACTCATCATTTTGAAGGAAAGAATATGCATTTTTTTAGGGATTCTTGCACCCCAATTAACGTGTATTGGTGATGATTTAATTATATTTGATGCTACTAAAATATTTTTTGATATTGATGTATTTAATATGATTACTTGAAAGTCATAATTCTTTTTCAATGCTATAACTAAATTATATGTTAAATATAGAAAATCGATTGATGAAATAATGATGCTTCTAAACCCCCTTTTTCTACCTCTTCCACAAATCAAAACAACATCCCTTCCTTCAAAGCTATAATTTACTTCATGGTCTTCTCCAACGTGCAACAATCATCAAAAGTGCAAATGATTTTGATCTTACTTATACATGTTGTAACCCTAAAACAATGGTAATCTAATACATATAGTCTTTTGCTCAACTATTTAAAAACATTACTCTAATACTTGATTATGGATATCATAAATAAATAACTAAAATCAACTATCACGTTCCAATTAAAGTCTGAAACCAAAATATCATTTACAACTTAATATAGATTAACATTAATACTGATCCGACACAAGTGATCAATCGTTGGATAAAACACAAACTCTACCCACAAGATTATAGATTATAAACTATACAAATGACAACAACAGAGAAAATAATTTATGACTTAGAAGATAATATTTACATTCAAAAACACTTTTGTCTCATAACTTACAAAATGATTTTTTTAATTATTTTTTATCATATATTATTGCTAATTTAATTAAGTTTTAAATTAGCATGTATTAATTTATAATCTTTTAATATTTGATATCATAAATTTAAATATCTATAAAATAATTATATATATATATATATATATATATATATATATATATATATATATATATACAACAACTTCTATATATTAAATATAAATTATGGTTTTTAGATATGGGACTTTTATTTTGTCACATAGCATCTCCTAGATCAATTATCAATATATATCTACTATTAATTAAACGTAATAGCTCAATTTGAATGTGAATTTAAATTTTGTTATAAAATACCAAATTCGTAGTCACGAATTATGCGTCTTTATTCAAATAAATAATTTCTGTATTTGTCATTTAAATTTTAATTTTTTTTCTCAGTATCATCATGAATACAATTTCTGTTACTAATTTTTATTATTTTTTCGGCAAAATCCTTCGGAGGAATTGTTATTTTCCAAATAATACTTCTTCTTAAGGAGATTTTCAAACAATATTAAATTTCTCCACAGACATTTTTAAAATAGAAAAAAAAAGTTCTTAACTAAAGTTTACTTATGTAATAATTAAAAATAAAAATTTAGAAAAATCACATTAAAATAAATATTATTTTAGTTTACAGAAAATTTCCTTTTATTTTATTTTATTTTATTTTTCTAGTTTTTTACTGTAAAAGTGTTTATGAAAAAAACTTGTCCAAACATATTCTACAGATATAATATAAGTTGAATTGATATATTTCCGAACGTGCTAATAATAATTTCTTCTCATGTATGATTTACTAAAGTATAAGTTTTTTCTTCTGAAACTTGTTATTTTTATTTTTTTCAAAATACAACTTATAAAGTTCTAATTTCTTCCACTAAAACTTGTTACTTTCTTAAAAATAATAATAAAAGTAGTGCATTTTTCTTTTTCTATAAAAGGATAAACCTAAAAAACACACACAATAGTACAGACTTTTTCTCGCTTTCATTATTTTTCAAACCCTTCCAGTGTGTCATTCTAAAATCAAATTAGAAGAGTTCAATTTTTAAAAAATTGACAGAAATAATAGAAAATTTTGAAATCCGAAGAACGTGTCACACTTTATTTCCCCACTGACAAACAAGTGAAATTTTATAATCCCAAGCCCAGACAAATCCACAGCATTGCATGGTTCGATCCCTAAATAGCAGAAACAGAATTTGAAGAACCCTCTGATGCAAATTCTCTAACACAAAGTGGGAAAAAGCGGAACCAGTGAAGAGACAAAGCAAGAAGAAGAAGACCTAACCAAGCCAGTAGTAACCAACACGGAGCAGAAGAAGAAAGAAAAATAAATAAATAAATTACTTAATTGAAGAAAGAGCGTCGTTAAAGTGAAGTGCAGGTTAGTTTGTATCATTCGTTGTATCCTCCGTGACGTTCTCTCTTCAACGCACTCTCCCGCGGATTCACCGTACGCGGAGGGTACCATCGCACACCAGATCCCGCTCTCTCTCTCCTCTCTCTCTCTCTCTCTCTCTCTCTCTCTCTCTCGAGATGAACGATTTCGATGGTCTTCTAACCACCGATTTCGGGTTCAAACCCCAAGGAAAATCGGCGCCAATGGCAGCAGCTAAAGCCTCTTCCAACAACTCTTCCTCTCTCAACTTCGATTTAGGTTCCCGATCCGCTCGAGCTTCCAATTCCTTCGCCGGCGGCGAATCCGTCAACGTCGCTTCCATCGACGATCTCTTCAGCGGTGGTGGCGGCGGCGGCAGCAAGCAGGAGGCGTCTTTCGACTTCGACTCCGTGTTTCGTGGCTCCGCCGATATGCGCTCCAAGTCCGTTAACCTGCCGGCGCACGATGAACCGGTCTTTGACAAACCGATGTATGACGACGACGACATTTTTGACGGTGTTCCTGGGCTCAAGAGCTCCTCCAAGTTCTCCTACGGCGACGTTTTCGCTCCTGCCGCGTTCGATGATCTTCTCGGCGGGTTAGGTAAATCGAAGTCGTCGGAGAAGGGAGAGAGAGGTGTCACGGATTTTGATGACTTGATCGCTGGATTCGGAAGCAGTAAGGCTTCCACTGATAGGTATGTTACATGTTTGTAAATGAATTTCTTTAATGTGAGCCAGTGAATGTTGTGTAGTGAGAACTGAGGCTTATTTATTGATCTTTGGGAGAATCTATTTGTGTGCAGAAAGGGCGTGGAGAACTGAGATTTTGACTGTAAAATAAGTGAGGAGTGAGAGAAGCTCGTTAACTAATTAAATGGACCACTCAATAAAGTACCAGAAAATCTATAGGGAGGGAGTTTCAATTCAATTCAAATTCTTCTGGTTGAACGTTAACATGCAGAGGGGTTTAAAAAGTTTTTGGCAAAATATTGGTTGATAGCTCCGTTAGTGAATTAAGTCATTTTAGAACAATAGTAATGGTTTGAGGATATTGTCCAAACTTGTGTAGTGAAGACAAATATTGGGTATGATTTTTATGAAATTTTGGGTTATGTATACGGAATATCATCTAGCGTCTTTTCATAGTCCATCGTATAGAATTCTTTGATAACTTACAGATCACACCCTTGAGTATAAAAGTTCACTTCCCGTGATATATTGAATATGTCAGAATAAATTGTTTCCTTGCTGGTCATCATTGCTTAGAATCTTAGTTCACAAGCTGACTTACGAACTAATATGAACCTATATTGCTGTCAATAATTTATTTGACTGCTGATATTGATCTTAGTTGTTGGAGCTTTGGTTGATCTTCTAGACCATGCCTAGAATACAGGATTAATTTGGAGGGAAAGGGGATTTTTTGCTGATTATGTATTCTCTTCTATGTTTGCACAGAGTATTTGTTTGATAATGAAGATTCTGGTGTATTGTTTGTAGGAGATGGCTATTGTAGGTTGTGCATTAATTATCTTAAAAGGCACTTTAGATGTCTTCTGTATTTTGAAATATTAGTCTGAGGTTATTGTTGACATTTAGATATCAGCTTTTTGCGGTAATCTATCAATTTGACATTTAAGTGGGCATTACATAGTTTGAAAGGTAAGGTGTAGGTAGTTATACTTGCTGATTTTATTCGTAAAGTAGACACGTGAATGAAGCTCAGAAATTAGTTTGGGAAAGAAATAAGATGCACCAATGAACTTATTTTGTTCTGTTGTTTATTTTGATTTCAATAAAATCTTTTATTTAAATTACTCCCGCAATTTTATCGTACCTTTAAATCCCAACATTAACTACTATAGAGTATAGAAGCCTATCATATAGCAGTATGACAAGACTTCGAGCTTGGTCGGTTCTTTGCTATCATAGTTAGCCCTCAATGCCTTTATTCGTTTTAACCATTTTTGTCTGTATCTTATGTGTGACATCTTCAGTAAGTTCTCCATCATTTTGTAATATCGAACCCAAATATATTAACATAAAAACACATGGTATGAAATTTTCTCCCATTTATACTTCCAAGTCATTTTCTATGGATTTCGCCAAAATTGCAATGCATACTCTGTCTTTCTCTTACTGTGGAGCCTTTTGTTTCTGAAGTGAAGTCTATCTGCACATTTCAAGTACATAATTAACTGCATCCCTTTACTGCTTCTTTCACTAATTATTATACAATCCTAGCTAATTAGGGAACCAAACCATGATAAGATAAATAAATATGGTAATTAATTTTAGAAGATAATCTATAGATATTCTAAGATATGGTAAGATATTTCCATATATTGTAGCAATCGTACCTGTCTCAAGTAACTGACCATTCCCTTTTCTCCTAAAAGGTTCAGTTTTTTCTTTTTTTCATTTCAGAAATAGTAAATTTGGATATCTTGTAATAAGTTTCCTTCCCTGTGCATTTTTATCTTGGAAATGGATCCATCATTTTATCTGGTTCATGATGGGATCAGGTCTAATGCAAAAGTGAGGATAGATCTTATGAATTTATTCTGTTGCTTGGCTAGCATCTTATTTGGAGAAATAGAAGTGAACGGGATGAGATTAATAGAAGGGACAATACAATCTCTGATCTTCACATATTCTTGATGCATTGTAATTGTTTTTGCATATTGTTTTGTTCACAGGACCGTTCCTAATATTGATTTATCATCAGAACCTACTATCAATTCTTCTAAAACAGCCTCCAGTGAGACAGATGACCCTTTCAAAGTGTTTGAATCAACTTCAGTCCCAATGGATTCATCCTCAAAATACTTTACAGACCCATTGGAAGAAATTAGTAAATTTAGTAGTTCTAGAAGCACAAAAAATGATAGCTTGTCAAATTCAAATGGTGAAGTATATGATGATATTGATCCCTTCGGTGGACTTGGAAATTCTGTACCTGCATTCTCAGCAGAGAGAGATAGCATGAACCACAGCAGCTCCTCAAATAAAACCAGAGATAAAGAATCAAATGGTGAATCATCTGTGAGAAATCATGAGAGACAAACACAAACTAAGATTCCTGTTGATCATGATAAAAAATTTTATCAGGCTGCATTTGAGATGCCTACATATTCATCTGACCCTTACAAATCAGTTGGCCGAAGGTCTACTTCCCCTTCACATGATAATGATGGTTTCCAGCAAGCTAATACCCAGGCAGATATGTCTCCGAAATATGAAGAAACGTTTGAATCAAATGATGATGTATGGCTGACAGTATCAGAGATTCCTCTTTTCACTCAGCCAACTGCTGCTCCACCACCTTCAAGACCTCCTCCTCCTCGACCAGTACATATACCCAAGGCAGTAGCAGGTTCATCTGCTTCTGGCAATGTCAGAAAGAAGGATACTGATTTTTCTTCTTTCCCAAGTTCCACTCAATTTTCTCAAGGTCCTAAATCGTCTCCTGCTGCAGCCAAATTATCTTCTGCATCTCAGTTTGATGAACTTGAAGATTTTGCCATGGGCAGGAGTCGTGGTAATGACAATGAACATGGAAATGGTTTTACTGATGAAGAATTAGAGATGAACTCAGCTGCTGCTGCTGCTATGAAAGAGGCTATGGATAAAGCTGAAGCTAGATTTAGGCATGCAAAGGAAGTTAGGGAGAGAGAAAATACAAAAGCTGTTAAAAGCAAGGAGCCTGTGCAATTGGAAAAGGATGGAGAAAAGCAGGAAAGGTTAGATCATGAACAACAGCAAAAGGAGAGAGAGGAAAAAGAGCAAAGAAGACGTGAGAAGGAAAGGGAAGATAAAGAAAGAGAGCAACAGAGACTTGAGAGGGAAAGAGAAATGGCTAGACAGGCTGTAGAAAGAGCTACTAGAGAAGCACGTGAAAGAGCAGCTGTGGAAGCTCGCCAAAGAGCTGAGAGGGCTGCTGTTGAGAAAGCTAATGCAGAAGCTAGAAAGCGTGCTGAAAGGGCCGCAGTTCAGAGGGCTCAAGCTGAAGCTCGTGAAAGGGCTGCTGCTGAGGCAAAGGAAAGGGCTGAAAAGGCTGCTGCTGAGGCAAAGGAGTGGGAAGTGCGGGAAAGGGCTGCAGCTGCAAGAGCTGAATCTGAAGCAAGAGGAAAACAAGAACGTGCTGCTGTTGAAAGGGCTGCTGCAGAGGCTCGAGAAAGAGCTGCAGCACAGGCACGAGAAAGAGCTGCAGCTGCTGCAAAGATGAACCAACAACAAAATGACAATGATCTTGAATCATTCTTCAGCACAGGTGCCCGAGCTAACAGTGCTCCAAGACCTCCTAGGCCTAGTGCTTCAGTGAGTACTTAATTATGTTAAACATCATTTGTACTAATATACAGTGGCCAGCTCTTGGCTTTGGTATTCTGTCTGTTCCAATCATAGAAAATTTATCCTCAAACTCAGATGTCTTATTTAAAGAACTTTAAAAAGGTGACATTTTTAAAAAAAATCATGCTGTAAATAAAAGCACAAGGTGGACGGACATTCATCATGTTAATTCTAGTATCATACTATTTTAATTGTTTTTCACACATTTACCAGGCATCTTTGCTTTCAGGACCCTGTATTCGATGCCCAATTTTCGTCAGATGTGTCTTGGAAATCTTCAGGTGTAACTTCAAGCATGAAGAAAGCATCGTCATCTACTAATATTGTTGATGATCTTTCCTCAATTTTTGGAGGTTGGTTTATATGTGTGAAATAAATTAACAAATTATTGGAACTTTTGGGTCTCTATACTTACTGAATCTCTATCTGTTCCTTTTTTCTATGGTTTGAAGCTGCTCCATCATCATCTGGAGTGTTTCAGGAAGTTGAAGGGGAAAGTGAAGAAAGACGAAAAGCCAGGTTGGAACGCCAGCAGAGGGCTCAGGAGCGTGCGGTATGTATTACTGTAATTTCTTCCTCTAATTGATTTCATTGTCTTCTGTGAAAGAACAGGTGATTAATGTTCCAATCAACTTAACATTGAATTTATATGGAAGTATGTACATTCCTGAGAAATATTTTTAATTGTGTGTCTTTGTTGTGGGTGATCATTATCATTTTACACCAGGCTAAAGCATTGGCTGAGAAGAATCAACGGGACCTACAAACTCAACGAGACCAAGCTGAGAAACATGTAAACAGTTTCTTTTTGTAGTTTTCCTTTGAGAAACACTTGCATTATACTCACTGCATAAACACAATATATATCTGTTGAATATAGAGAAAATAGAGTTTGGAATTAATTTCCCTTGTGTATAAATCACACATAGGGTGATCTATTTATAGTAGAGAGATACAACTAAAAGAGTAACTGAAAGTAACAGAATCAATAGAAGATATTGTTTGATATTGTGGTTACCAATATCTAACAATATCTTAACAATATCAAATAATATCTAAACAATATCTAACACTCCCCCTCAAGCTGGAGCATACAAATCGTATGTACCAAGCTTGTTACAAATATAATCAATTCTAGGACCCCGTAAAGATTTAGTAAAAATATCTGCTAACTGATCACTTGAGTTAACAAACTCAGTATTGATATCTCCAGACATAATCTTTTCTCGAATAAAATGACAGATCAATCTCAATGTATTTGGTCCTCTCATGAAAGACAGGATTAGAACTAATATGAAGAGCAGCTGATTATCACACACAAGTGTCATTTGAGTGACATCTCCAAATTGTAACTCTCTAAGCAATTGCTTGAGCCAAACAAGTTCACGGGAAGCTGAGGTCATAGCTCTATATTCTCGTTTCTGCACTCGGATCTTGCCACAACACTTTGTTTCTTACTTTTCCATGAGATCAAGTTACCACCAATGGAGACACAATATCCAGGATGTAGATCTTCTATCCGAAGGAGATCCTGCCCAATCGACATCCGAGTAGCAAACAACTCTTGTATGGTTATTAGAACCATATAACAATCCTTTTCCAGGAGATCCTTTAATATACTTCAAGATACGAATGACTCGCATTCCAATGATCTTCACATGGTGAATTAAGAAATTGACTTACCACACTTGATCGCAAAGGAAATGTCGGGACGAGTAACTATAAGATAATTCAATTTTCCAACCAATCTTTTATACTTGCTCAGGATCAGATATAGCCCCGATTTGGTAGAAGTTTAGTATTGGGATCCATGGGTGTATCAACGGACTTTGAACTCATCAACCCAGTTTCCTCCAAAATATCTATGGCATACTTCCTCCGAGATATAACAATACCATCATTGGACCGTGTCACCTCAATACCCAAGAAATATCTAAGTTTGCCAAGATCTTTGGTCTGAAAATGGTGACAGAGATGTTGTTTCAACTGAGAGATGTCATGGTTGTCACTACCTGTAAGAACAATGTCATCAACATATACTATCAAGTAAACACATCCAGCACTCGAGTGTCGATAAAAGACAGAGTGATCTGCTTCACACCGAGTCATACCAAATTGTTGAACAACCTTGCTAAACTTTCCAAACCAGGCCCTAGGCGACTGTTTTAGGCCATATAGGGATTTGCGAAGACGACATACCATCCCAGAAGACTCCCCCTGAGCAACAAACCCAGGAGGTTGCTCCATATAGATTTCTTCTTGCAAATCACCATTGAGGAAAGCATTTTTAACATCTAGTTGATAAAGAGGCCATTGTTGAAGAGCGGTCATGGCGATAAATAAACGAACAGAAGTCATCTTTGCCACAGGGGAAAAGGTATCTCCATAATCCAATCCAAAAATTTGAGTATAACCTTTGGTCACAAGACGTGCTTTGAGGCGATCAATACTACCATCAGGTCCAACTTTGATAGCAAACACCTACCTGCAACCAACAACAGATTTCCCAGACGATAACGAGACCAATTCCCAAGTTCCACTATTATGAAGAGCACTTAGTTCATCTAACATGGCCTGACGCCAACCAGGATGGGCTAAAGCTTCACGGACAGTTTTTGGAATGATCACAGAAGAAAGAGAGGAAAGACATGTATAAAAAGGTAATGATAGTCGATGATAACTCAAAGCAATATAATGGGGAGAGGGATTACGTGTAGAACGAATACCTTTTCGGAGGGCAATGGGAAGGTCAGACTCATGTGTCAGATCCGGAGGAGACAGAGTAGTTGACACTTGAGTAGAGTCACATGGTGGTGGTTGTGATTGGTTTCGAGAACTATAAATCTGAAGAGGCAGTGGAGAAGAAGCTGACTGCGGAGCAGGAACTAATGGTGAAGAAGACACAGTTAGAGGGTCACAAACAATAGGAACATTAAATGTATTACGAGTGTTGACAAGATTGGATGGAGACAGAGGTGAAGTTTGACTTTTAAAATAAATTTGACATCTTTTGACACAAAATAACGGTTAAGAGAAGGAGAAAAACATTTGTATCTTTTTTGTGATCTTGTAAACCCTAAGAAAACACATTTATGTGATCTAGGAGAAAGTTTGTCCAGACCAGAACTAAAATTATGAACAAAACATGTAGACCCGAAAACTTTTAGAGGTAAAGGATGAAGTGGTTCATGAGGGAATAAAATGGAATGAGGTATTTTATTATCTAAAACCGAAGAAGGCATGCGATTAATGAGATAACATGCAGTAAGAAGAGCATCACCCCAAAAATGTTGAGGAACATCTCCATGAATTAAAAGTGTGCGAGTTGTTTCAATAAGATGTCTATTTTTACGTTCAGCTACACCATTTTGTTGAGGTGTATAAGCACAAGAAGTTTGATGCAAAATACCGTGAGAAGCCATGAATTGTTTAAAAGAATGAGAAAGATATTCACGGCCATTATCACTACGCAAAACTCTAATAGAAACACTGAACCGAGTTTGAATTTCATTAAAAAAAGTTTGAAAGATATGAAATAATTCGAACGATTTTTCATCAAAAATAACCAAGTGCATCTCGGAATAATCATCAATGAAAGTAACAAAGTATTGAAAACCTAAAGTAGACTTAACGCGGCTAGGTCCCCAAATGTCAGAGTGAACCACGACAAAAGGGGACGAAGCACCACGTGTGAAACTACGAGGAAAGGAAGTACGACTATGCTTGCCTAATTGACATGACTCACGCCAAACTAGATAAGTTGGACAAGGCAGGGACAAATTTCTGTAACTTGGCAAGACTTGGATGACCTAACTGAGCATGAAGAAGAGAGGGAGACTCCATAACCGTACTAACATGTGTAGAGGGACGGAGATAATAAAGACCATGAGACTCACATCCCGTGCCAATCACCTGTTTCGAACTCCGGTCCCGTAAACACACAGAATTGTTGGTAAAAGTAACAACACAATCAAGAGAACGAGTTAGACGACCGATGGACAACGGGTTAAAAGGAGACCCAGGGACATAAAGAACATTATCAATGGTTAAAGAAGGAAAAAGTTTAACCGTTCCAACACCATGAGATGATACTCTAGAGCCATCGACCGATGTAACGAAGGTAAATGATTAGGAGAGGATAAAGAGGAGAACAAATATTTGTTACCAGTAATATGATCAGTGGCTCCCGAATCAAAAACCCAAGGACCAGGAGAAAATGATTGGGTCAGACCAGCAAAATATGTATTTGTATGTGTGACAGATATAGTGGAACTAGAAGACTGTTGATCCTTATACCATTCGAGAAATTTGTTGAACATAGCGAGACATGTCGGATGCAACAGAAGAAGGAAGATCCCCTGCAGATAAAGGTGGGGAAAAATTTGTCCGAACAACTACGACGAGATCGAGGAGGACGACCATGTAATGTATAACACTTGTTAATCTTGTGACCTAGCTTGCCACAATGTTCACACTTAGGACGCCATTTTTCCTGTTTGCGAGGGCGAGCCCGGTCATCACGATGAGATGTCAACACAAAAGAATCGTTAACAAAATTGGAAATAGTGGAAGAAGTCATGAAGAGCGGGAGAACAAACCCAACTCCGATAGTGGTGATCTCAATGGCACGGTGATCACCTGACCGAGACAAGCAAAATCATATGTCACCGGTAAAAAAAAAATGAAACTCTGGCGAATTCTCCGACAGCGGCGGACCCGGTGACTGCTCCAGCGGCAGCGGTGACAGTAACGTGAACTAGTACACCAGGTAAGTTCCCAGGAAAGAGAGGTGGGTCACTAATGGACACACTTAAATACCAAGTCTTTCCTTGCCAGAACTTTCCTAAACATGCACTTTCACACTGCCAAATAAAATTCAATGACAAAGATAATTCTTTTCTGATGTGGAGGATCAGTTTACCAGCAGCGGTGGGGCGGCTCTAGCAGCGGTGGGGCGGCTCCAACAGTGGACAAAAGGCGGAAAAAAAAAAATTCAAGATAACCTTAAGCTCTAGATACCATGTTGAATATAGAGAAAATAGGGTTTGGAATTAATTTCCCTTGTGTATAAATCACACATAGGGTGATCTATTTATAATAGAGAGATACAACTAAAAGAGTAACTGAAAGTAACAGAATAAACAGAAAATATTGTTTGATATTGTGGTTACCAATATCTTAACAATATCAAATAATATCTAAACAATATCTAACAATATCCATTCATATCCTTGTTGGCATCTTTGTATCAGTGAGGCACAATACAAGGGCCAATTGATATCTAATTAAATTTTTGTTATATTATTTGTCTGTTTCTAGTTTACGATAAAGCTAAAAGCCTGTTTGGTCCTTTCTTTTTTCCTTTAAAAATGACCATATACCCTTACTTCTTTCCGTCCAAAAGTTATTTTACCAATTGGGGAGGTTGAGATGGGTTGTCCTCCCCTCATTTGCTCACCTTTATAAATTTAACAGACAATGAAGGGGTTCTTTTTATGTAGATGACGGTGGTTAATTGAATTTTACTTCTCTGTTAATTTGCTGAGTTTTTATAATGTTATCTATTTATTATCTAATCTTATCCCTACATTGATTTCAGAGGGTTGCTGAAACATTGGATTTTGAAATTAAGCGCTGGGCTGCAGGAAAAGAGGGGAACTTGCGTGCCTTGCTTTCCACCTTACAATATGTATGTACTTTCTACATGAACCCTGGAAAAACCTCTATTTTTCTCTATTCCTTATCTGTATGAACGCCTAGAAGTTCGGTAGCTTATGCTATCACTTTATTTTATTATATTAATGCTTGAGCCCAACTTTTAAGATATGGCAATGGCATGCTGGATCTCATCTGAACCAGTATACCTCCTAGGGTTAGAAGTGTGGTGGGTATTTGATAACAGATTATTTTCTGAAAATATTTTTAAAAAACCTCAGTTTAAGTTGACAAAAATAAGTAATTGTTTCTTCAATTGAAACAAGCATGCACCAATTCTATATTTCGAAACTGATTTTATTGGTTTCGTGTACACACCGGTCATTATAGGATCGACCAGTATTTCAATTTCATTGTTTAATATTATCCACATTAGCATTTCCAATCAGATCTGTACTAATATTAGACACATTTTAATAAAAGTGGTTGATTTTGCACAGCATTCTGATGATGTTTCTGTAATTGCTATCTAATACAGCAAAAGCAATGTTTCAAAAAGGAAAAAGATAACTTCACAATCTCTCTTCAAAAATCAATCTTCTAACAACCTCATTCAATACTATAATTTATAATTATTATATTAAAACTTGTCAGATAATTTTTTTTAGAATTGTACGTATGTCATGACTCTTTCCGAAATTTAACACAATCTGAAAAGTTGCTGCGTCTAAATATTTAAGGAAGCTAGTGGTCCCTTTGTACTCTTTTTTTTAAGGTAGCGATGTTTTTCTTCTTTATTTATGTTTTATTGTCTTAACTAGTTTTCTTTATGGACGATCATCAGGTTCTGTGGCCTGAATGTGGTTGGCAACCAGTTTCTTTGACTGATTTGATTACAGCCGCAGCTGTCAGAAAGGTTTATAGGAAAGCAACATTGTGCATTCATCCTGATAAAGTACAACAGAAGGGTGCCACTATTCAGCAGAAATGTATTGCTGAGAAGGTTTTTGATCTACTCAAGGTATGTTAGGCCTTTTTATATATAAATAAAGATCTATGCTTCACAGAGAGAGAATTGTCATTAGGCTACTGTTATTTGAAGTGACTTTTTCCATGTAACATTTTGGTCAAATTCAATGCATATAAACATCAGCATTGTAGCTTGTCAAATTCAATGCATATAAAGATCGGCATCTCATGGAATTTTCCGTCATGTCTGGTTAGAAATGCAAAACTCTTTAATATATTGAAGCATTAATTATATTTTTGTCCGTGAAATTTGAGGTAAATCTGCTTTTTGTATCCTAAATTAAAAAATATATTTTACTTCTTATAATATCACAAAATGTTAAGACAAGTGGTAATGTGGCAATAAAAAGTGTGCCGTGATAAATGCTTTCTCACGTCACCATCTGTCTAATCTGTCTGTTTCTTGAGACTAAACAGATTTTATGAAATTGTAGAGACTAAAATGATTTTTGTTAATATTGTAAATTTTCAATATGGTAGAACAATATTATATAACTAAATTTTATTTTGTTGTACCACAACAAAAACATTACTCTTGAAAAAAAAAGGTATTCTATGCTGCATTTTATTTTTTGCATTTTACCAACTGGCGTCTATCATTGTATTTATGGATGTTCCTGTTAGTCCAGCCAATGGTAGTACGTTATGTTGCACATAGCAGGATTTTTCATCTATATATATATAACTTGGAAGTAATGTACAAATGTCAATTAATTGTACTAAAACATAAAAAGGTAGTGGTACTTTTCTTTTTCATTTATACATGCGTGTCCTAAATAAAAGTATATACTCCTCCTATCCTATGCGTTAAGTTTTTGCTGAAAAGATTGACAATTTATTACACAGGAGGCATGGAATAAGTTCAATTCAGAGGAGCTTTTCTAATCTCGGACGAACTGAACTGAACTACTTCGAGGTAGCTTCTACACCCCCGTTAGGCATGGAATAACTTCTACACCCCCGTTTCAGTTGCCCCCCAACTGCTTATTTGTTTCGATTAAAGTTCTGTTGCATCGATGATAAAAATATCAATTTATTGTGTGGCATCAGGATGTCCAAATGATACTCGGGGGAGTATTCTGTAGTCGATGTAATTTCCAGGGGGGTTTCGGATTTGTGCCGATGTTGACTGAATGCAGTATATTTTGTTGTAAAATCTATTTGTGGGCATTTGTCAATTCAATTCATTATTTCTGTGGAGTGAGGAGAGCTCATTGTTTTTAGTTCTTTGTTTATTTTTATTGCTTGTGATATAGTATATAGTTTCCTGAATATATATATATATATATATATATATATATATATATAGAGAGAGAGAGAGAGAGAGAGAGAGAGAGATTCATTTGTGCATTGACATTAAAATGTGGGGAAGTTCCGGGGACTCCTCTCAAGCCTGTGTATTTTTGTAATAACTTGATTTCAAGCACTCACTAAATTGTTTGCCTTCTCTGGTTTTCATTCGACAATGTTCAGCCTTAGGTCTAAGTTTGAAGTTTATGTTTTTAGTCAGTTACAGCAAAGTTCCGTAAAATTATGTATTTGGGTTAGTTAGTATGTGACGATGAGCAGAAGGGGGTATTGAATTTGAAAATGTCTCTAACTTGAGTTTTATAGACTTGTAACAAGGATGAGATTGAAATAGCATGATAAGATAGAAGATATACAGAGAACCACCGCTGCCTACAACAGTTGCTAGCATTTGCTAGGAGAGGGTGGATGGGGTTTAATAGTCTACATGGAAAGGTTTGTATTTCTGTAGATCAACCACGATACTGGCAACTGAGCCAATAGCAGCTGCAACTGATACTACGAGGCAGACAAAACTCAATATTTGCATGCCTATCCACCGCTGACTCCACTTTGGGATCTTATTTTGTTTGATACTCATCTCCACTGGGAAAAAAACACTTAAAGGCCAAAACCCCAGTGCTCCAAGAAGTCCCAAGATGTCGTTGAAGAATGGAATCAACATTGCTACAATAGTGGTTATGATAACAAACACCGTTCTCCATACTAATCTAAATGGGCTTAGATTGTATGATGCAAAGCCAGGAATTGGAACTTTGTATTCTGTGTCGACTTTGGGCCATCTTTTTGAAGCCCATTTCTCGACAAAGGCAAATAGGGGCTGAGCATAAACTTGGTATGCACCAACAAGGTGAATTACGATAGCAGCATTAGCAATATCTATAAGCCAAAATGGGTTGTAAAAACCAAATCCAGTGAGCAGGTTCCCTGGTGCGTTGTCCCCAAAAGCAGCATAACCCATGAAGCCACAAAGCATATAAAACGTTGTCGTTACTCCAATACTTATCTTTGCGGCTTTTTTCATTGTCTTTGCTTCAGAAGGTGGAGATTTTATAGTGTCCTGTGTGTAGTCAGAATAATATTACATATTAATTAGTTTCCGATAAAAATTACTTTTGTTTTTTGTTACTTATTTAATCACAGAAGGAAAAAAAAGAGTGAACCTGAATTTCAATGAGGATTTGAGAATATGAATAGGCAAAGGCTATGTCACCAAGACCTTGGAAAACCCCCCATACTTTTTGGGCCTCTGTCACAGTTCCAATCCTTACTCCTGTGAGACTACCCTTAAAGGTACCCGTTTCTGCCAAGAGCCAATTAAACGAGAAGTATCAGCCTTTTTTTTCCTTTCTAACAGTACTTCTATCAAACAAATAAAAGTAATATATAACCTGCAACTTTGGCAATTCCAAGAGCGAGGCCAATTATCGAATAGGCAAAGGACATGATTGCTGCAACTATGGAGAGCCACCATGTTTTATGAAAATCTGGAATTTGAGAAAATACAATTTGGATTATGCCAAAACTGATCATGTATGGGTTGCTCGAAATGTGGCATGGATCATTTCCGCCTGAGGAATGGAAACAGTTGGACCTTTTTATCGCCCTGTTAAAACCATACCATTTAAGTTGAACACACCCATAATTAAACTAGATAATCAAACAATATAAATCTATGGTTAGAATTAATATTGCGAATGAATGAGGTAATTTCAATAGCATCAGAAATCTACATATTCCATATTTTTTTATAAAGTAAATTACCTTAAAAATCAATAAATATCACTATTACTAATTGTTTGCAGAAGTTTCAGAAGCAACATTTACGTTGTTAAACAAACTTAATAAAAACTGTTTTGCTTTGTACGTGGAAAAAAATATCAACCAAGAGTTTTATTTAAAATATTTGGGTTATACATTTTATTTTAAAAGCTAACCTGAAAGTTAGGAATTATTCATCCCAATATACTAAGAATTTACTTCTCAGTCTCAACTTTCCAGAAATTGTCTCAAAAGAGAAAGAAAAAAAGAGAGCTAGACAAGTTCGAAACACGTGCTATGTAGATGTATTAATAAGTGTTAACTCATAAAAATATCTTTTCTCTTTTAAATAATATATCATATTCTCCTTATATTAAATACAAATGTTAAAAGTCAAAAGTGACAATTATTTGACTCTATTCAATTTTAAATGATTTATAAAAATAATATATATTTTTTTAATAAACTCTCACGTGGACACATGTATGATAATTAATAAATTATAAACCTTTTAGTTACATAATAAATTATTTAGGTGAGTAAAAAATATTTGTAAAGAAACTTACTTAAAGTTATTTGTAATTCAAATGTTCATATTTGAAATACATTAATGACAACAGACTGGATAGCTTTAGTTAGTATGAAGAAAATGGTCAATTTATATATTAAAAGATAAATCTATTAAATTTAGATTTTATTTGGTCAAATCTATTAAAACTAGAATCTCGAGATGATTTGAAAATAAAATCAATTCTTATTTTCCTACTTTGAAAATATTTTTAGTAAATAAAGTAAATTTCAAAGATATATGATAAGAAGATAACGTAATTGCTGACTCACATCATGCTAATAGAAGCTGCAATTGTGTATCCTATGGCAGTGCCGTAAAGATTTGAGTACTGAACGAATCCACAAAACGTATCATAGTGCCGGCCTGCAAAATCCATTGTAACAAGACACCCTTTTTCTTACAATTTTCATACATACAATTTCAAAAGTCAAATATTCTTTCAACTACTCAAGTCAATAATGTACATCATAATGTTGTCGTTCTAGATTTATGTATATTTACATAATAAAAAATAAAGAGGTCGATATAATTGTATATAATGAGACAAACAATTAAATTATAAGATTGATTTAGAAAAGACATGATAATTTGTGTATATACACAGAAGTCTTCGTTCAAACAACAAATTCAACCAATAATAGACGTGTGACTTTCAAACTTTGAGTCAACTGTGCAATCAATCATGCTGGTATAGTTAGGAAGGTAATAGCATTGAAAAAAAAATATAGGTGAAGCTAAATTTCAGCTATATCTTATTGAGAAAAGATGAAAAAAATATAAGTGTAATAAGATGTTATAGAAAAAATATAATAAAAAAATATAAGGGTTGATAATAATAATAATAATAATAATTATTATTATTATTATTATTATTATTATTATTATTATTATTATTATTATTTAAATAGTTGAGTAATTTTGAGAGAAAAAAATTGACCAATAAATAACAACTAAAATTTTTAGCTGAAAATCTTAATATAATAATTTTATCGATTTTTTATTTATATATTACTAAACTTATCATTTTTATACTATATCAACAGAAATATCATTAATTTATAAAAATCATGTTTTTTTATAATTTTTTTATACATATTTCGTAAAAAAAGGCATAAGAAAATGGTAGGACTACTCATAAGAAATGTGTAATTTTGTTACCAAGAATGGTTTGAACTGCATCCATGAAAGTATAGTTTCTCTTCCCAGAAACAGGGTCACCACAGCGATAACAATCAGCTAAAAGCGACGTCGTATAGAGCGTGACAACACTGAAGAAGATCATAACTGCAGGCCCAACAACCCAACCCATTTGAGCCATAGCCCATGCCAAAGACAGCACTCCAGAACCCACCACTGCTGTAATTATATGGGAGCTCGTAGTCCAAAGGGTCCCTATTTCATAATCATAACCAACCCATCAAATATCAAATCATATACCACCATTCATTTCAAACATCTAATAAACGATCTATTTCATCAATAAAATAATAATAAACTATTATAAAATTAATAAAAACAGTTGTTTTTTAAATGTTTATACCATAGACATTGTCAATCTATCATTTTTATATACAGATTATTACAATCAAATAAAACAAAGTCTAAATTAATAAAATTAAAAAGGTACCTGTTCGTTTCACATGGCCATCATCATCGAAGAATTTCGAGTCGGTTTGTGAAGAAACACCATCTATGGAGTGAGCCTCCATGCCAGAACCTTGATGATGGTGGCTAAGGTTGGTTCTGGAAGTGTATTCAACCATGTGTTATGGAAAAGAAAATAAAACAACGTATATAATATAACTGAGCGGGTATTACTAAAGTGTTGAAGATATATAATGGTGTTGCTTTGTTCGTGCCAACAATAATGGAGTTTGGGTTCACGAATCAAAATCAAAACGCGTGCCCAAAGAAAGAGCAAGGTACAAACACTATTGTGTGCACCACCTCCATTTCGTACCGATCCAAATCGACACAAATCAATCTGTGATAGATTCGTAGTGTGGTGTGGCTTGAAAATGGAACTATTTATAAGGTCTGATATAATTATTACAAAATTCAATTCGTCCCCACCGTCCATTATTATCAATAGAAATAATAAATAAATCTACAAAAAAATAATTAAATGTACAGTTGTCGTTACTTTTTTCCAAATTCAAAAAACGTGAATTTCTGTGTTCTTATTTTTTAATCACAACAATGAGATTTGATTCTATTTGTTTGGTTTAATTTAAAAACTTGTACCATTTAAGTTATCGGGTTTAATGGTTGTATATTTGGTACTATAAAACAGTTTTATAAAGTAAAAAGCATAATTATGAAAACCATGCAAACATTACCCAAACAGTTACATAAAACTCGAACTATAATAAATATCTTATTCCCGTACACGTTCAAAGTTATTACACATATATTAAGAATCAATTTTTTAAACAATTTTATTAAAATAACCTAACTTTTCATAAATACATTATTTTAAATAACAAATAATTACTTTGAGGGCATAGAAAGGAAAAAAATATTTTATATTAATTATTTTGAAACAAAAAAAGAAGCTAAAACGTTAATTATTTTAAAAAGTTGGAAAGTGATGAACTACCCACGCCAAAAACTTTTAATATATTTGAACAGTACTTGAAAAGGTACTTTTAGAGTCATATATATATATATATATATATATATATATATATATATATATATATATATTTTAACTTAAAAGTGCTTTTGAAAGGGATTAACTGAAATCCAACCATATTGAAACAAATTTTACTGTTCGAAACTGAATTAATGAAGAGAAAAGGTCATTAAGCTTCCCCTATTCTGGTGGATTTTCAAAATATTTTGGTCAATAAATGATGGTGGGTAAAGCAAGTTGACTACAGAATCGATATATGCCTAAAACTTATGTGGCTGAAACTAATCCCTTTCCCTGTATGCGTAGTATAATCTCATTCTTTTTTATGATTGATGAATGCTTTTGAAGCTTTGAACACTCTACACATTTTGCAGCATTATCTTGGCAAAATATTAGAAAGATAAGGGGAATAAACACAGCACCATCAATAACAAGCGCATTATTCTAATTCAAAGAGAAATGAATCTTTGAATATTCTTCTAGAATTGGATGGTTCTGGTTATTGGTTTTATTCGCTCTGTTCATAATAACTTGTCCCAACAACTCATTTTCTCCTTCAACACCCATTTTCCTGACATATTTTCCCAAACAGATCACAGAGTGTGGAATATTGAATCGACGTACTTCCCCATCAATTTCCCAACACTCGTTTCCACAGTACAAAACACTCTCAGAAAGGTCTTGTTTCTGAACCAAACAGACCCTATCTAATATTTAGAGGAACTATCATATATGCATATTATTATTATACGATCTATTTTCCCACGCATATTAGTATTAAGTAAATAACTATCAGATTCAGCTAAATCTGAAACTCAAACAAAAAGCAAAGGCATTCATTCATTCAGGTTAAGATTACAGAGTAAAAACGAAATCAGTGATGATAAAAGTGAAATGCATAAAATTCAATTGAGAAGCATGAAAATGAAAGAGAGTGGAAGCAATTAACATTACTTGATTGTGAAATCCAATGAGAAGGTTTGTTGTTGTTGTTGGTGTGAGGAGTGAGTGAGAAATTGTTTGGTAAAAAAATTGAAGCGCATAAGTGATGGTTTTTATAGTTTATAGCTCATATTTGGATTCGGTTCAGTTTTGGTGTGTGCAATAATGACCTTTGTTTCTGCCACAACCGTTCACACTTTCTTACAGAATTATCATAACAAAACATGTTTTAATTAATTTATTAAGTGAAACATCAATAATAATTAATTATACATATTTTTAATTATTTTTTATGCTTGGTACTAATGCTTAATTATGGAACTGGCCTATTCTATTCCTCTATATTTTTTTTGCACATTATATATATATATATATATATATATATATATATATATATATATATATATATTTGTAAATTTAAGTAATTGTATAAAAAAACCATTAAGTAAATAGTAAATGTTTTCATTATTATTAAAAACATTGTTGTATTAAATATAATAGTAATGAGTTAATTTTTCTAAATCAAACATACTGAATTGTTTTTTTTAGTCAAATTTAAAGTGAACTAAGTCTGTGCAATATTTTGTATCTCAACTCAATTCAATAAAAAGAATAATAATAATATTTTTAATATTTAATTATTATATTAATTAAATTCATATAACTTTAATATAATTTATCTTATAAAATAACATTTAAAAAATTTAAAATTTTAATAACAATATTTTAAACATGAGCAAATTCAATCCAACTTATTAGAAATACCTTAGATTATATTGGATTTAAAAAATAGAAATAAATCCGATTTACCCAAAAAAAATTAATTGAATTGTACACCCCAACTTAAAATTTAAAAAAAAAATCGGTTTTTTTAGCATAAGTGACAGTTGTTTTCATTAAGGATAACCCTATTCAATTTGATATTGCATATTAAATTTGAAAATTAAATTTAAGTAAAACTTATAATTGCATTTAAAGTTAATATTTTGAACAGATAACAAAGCGCAAATGAAAATGTAAAGTTAAAAAAATATCACACGGGACAAAAAGAAACTTCTAAAAATAACTCTTATTCAATAATAATAATAATAATAATAATAATAATAATAATAATAATAATTGTAATAGTAATGAAACTAACGTAAAGTATCCAAAATAAAGCACATGTTAAGATCAGATTAATTTCAGTGTTTAACAAATTAGTATTTAGTTAACATTAAAAATGTCGAACGTGTGTGAAACGTGTATCAAAAGTTGATGGAAGTGTTTGTGATAGAATTGAACATAATTTTATTAATAGGAATTGGCATGAGCTAGTTTCTGCATTTTACGCGTTTTTGAAAATGAAGAATCAAAACGTGGGCTTAAGCTATTTGATGAATAAAGTATGTATCAGACAGAGTCAGAGAATAAGAGTACCAGAATAAAAAAATTACATACATATCATGTTTTTGGATCTATTTAATTAACCTCAATGGCTTTTATTTGTAAAAGTTTTATTTTTATTTTAAGAATATTGTATAAATAATTATATTTTAATCATAAAATTCGAGATAAATAGTTTTTTTTTTAGTTTCCCATATTTCATTTCACTCTCTCAAATTTAATAAAATATATTATTTTAATACTTTAAATTTACTATTTTTTAATTATTTTTTTATAAAGATTAAAATATTTTTTTTTAAATTGGTAGACTTAAATTACAATTACTTTAAACTTTAGGATTAAAAAATAATTATATTAATATGAGAATAGAAAGAAAAAACTTAAGGCTATGTTAAGGGCCATTTTTGTTTTTATGTTTATCTTATGAAACTATCATTTTATATGTAATTTTTTTTTGTGTTTTATATATTTGTAGGAAACCGTGAAAACAGATTTTTTTTTTACTTTTTTTTCTTGTACAAATATTTTAAAACAAGATAAATATTAAATTATTGAAAAAACTTGTATATCGGACGTGAAAAAAATAAAATGAAAACATGAAATAAAAAGAAAGGAATATAGGAATAAACCTATCCTAAAATATTCATGTTTATTTTAGAAAAGAAATAAAAAAAGATAGTGCAGGATAAAAGAATATCTCTAAATAGAGGAAATTGAAGTTCTATTTTCTATCTTTTTAAATTTAAATATTTACTCGAACAGCAAATTTAATTGATAGATAATCTAAGGTTAATAAAAATGGAATAGAACAAATAATTTTAAATAATACAAATTTTAATGCCATTTTTTTAATATGTATATTACTTATTTAAAGAAATACTAAAAGTTTTTTAATTTTGTCTTTTTACTTCTTTTTTTTCACTTTTTTTAAGTAAAATAGTGTATCGACTCACATTTAATATCATTAACCAAACTGATAATTTTTTAAAATTTTGTACACAATTAATGTTGGTTTAGTGACTTGGCTCGAGACTGGTGGAAAGAATATTGACAAAGAATTTTATTTATTTTTTATTTTATCATGTGTAAATGTGCTACTAATAATTTTTAATAAATAAGTTATCTTTCTAATTCCTTAATGTGCCTAAAAATACTTGTTATGGAGATTCATAAATTTGTATGTAATAAACTTTTAAAATGAGATAATCAACTTTAACCCATTACTATTTTAGACTCTCTTACTCCAATATTGAGTCATCATTATTTATTTATATTTTATTGGTTAAAATCCATTAAAAATATATATAATTAGATGATAAGTTTATTAAATAAGACGTGAAACCAATATATTTTAAAAAAAATACAAGAAATAAAAGAAAATATATAAAAAATATTTTTTTATATTTTATCTTTATTTATCAAACTTTTTCAAAATAAATATTTTTTAAAATAAACAAGGTACAATTATTATTGATTTAAATTAAAACAATTTCTTATTATTTTTATAATACAGAAATTAAAAGTTAGGTAGAGTATTTTTCATAAAAAATGATATATACCATGATTTTTTTTTGACAAAACTGTCATTAATTATATGTAATCAATTATGAAATTGTGCCTCTTAAAAAACAAATATTAATTATCTTTAATCTTTTTTAAAGGTAATATTCTCAAAACAATGTTATAAGCTATAAATTTTAGAGCATTGAGTTTTCACATACACATGATATCAATACTAAACATAATTTTAGAAACACCTATGAAGTTTAAACAAATTAATATCATTAATGTCTTTGCACCCTGTATATGTTACTTGTTGTAACAAAGTTGGTTTGGAGGGTGGACCTGGCACGAACATGATTGAAAAAAAAAACAGGACATCATTTGCACACAAACCCTTACACGTATGTCATGCCTTGTGAAACTAACAAACAAAATAAACGAGTAATTGGAGTGAGTGAGCTAAAAGAAGAAGCTGTGAATTTGGGACAAGCATGCGTTCACCATTTCTATTCTTTCACAACATACAATTACAACTCATGGATTCACGTGGTGTAAGGTTGGTCATTTCCCAAAGTTTTGTTTCTCTGTTCAATGCCAAAAATTCCTGTGTATTTAGTTAGAGACCGACCCTCTGCTTCTCTATTAACGCGTCACTGAGGTCACCTCGAATCAAGTCAAGCCTTTACTGCGTTTAAACCGCGTCAATTGTTTGTCAGACGCTTCTTTCTGTCTGCATCCTGCGTTTAGAGGCTCCTGTTCAATCCAACCCTTTTTTTCTCACATCTTCCACGTAAACCTTCCTTCTAAGTAAGCCCCGAGAGAAAACAAGCAACAAAGAATCTTTCTTTCCCTTGTTGTACTCTGTCAGTAAATCTCACCTCGTTAAACCCATTATATATAACTGGTTGAATTTATTTATACAAAAAACTGTAAAAGAGTCCTCAAATATCAAAATAAACACAATGTATTAAGGACAAATTAGTCTACTCTTATTTATTAAACTAAACGAAGGGTTAATTTTAAAAATAATTTATAACTAACATTCTTTCTTAATTTACAAAAATTATTTTTTTTAAATTAAACATATTTTTTCCTATATTTTTCGTAAAATTTGATTTTATCTCTTTACTTTAAAGATTAGGTAGTTTTGAAATTAAAAAAAGTGAATTTAATCATTTTATCAAATTTATAATAATAAAATTTTATTGTTAAATATTAAATTGCAAAAAATAGATTTATATATTTAAAAAGTGGTAGTAGGAAAAAGACTTTTTTGTTTTAAACAAAATCATGATCAAGTTACTTAACATTAAAACATAAAGTACATCAAATGATTTGACCATAAGAATAATACTTAAATTCTTGAAACTAGATTGGTTTCCGCAAAGCTTTCACAGTACATGCATATTTTTTTTTATCATTTTTTGCCCTCATAAACACTGCTGACAATTATAGTATCACATCCATGTTCGTCCAGACAAAAACTAGTCACATCTATATTTACGTTGTATATTCTTTTAGACTTTACTCAAACAGGAGATTTGACCAACAGTATACTTTCCATATCGATATTAAATTCCGACTCTTGAGAAATGTACCTGCTATTTAACTGCTGCGTGCAAGTGGCGTACTTTTTTCTACACTTTCATCGCACAGTTTCAATAATTCTAAATATACTGAAATCTCCTAAATAATTCCTTCAGAATTTGGACATCGGAATGTTAACCAATTTCATGTTGGGTTTTTAGAAGAGGATGCGAGAATACCAATGAAACAATCCAACCCACTATATCACCTTCGTCCCAAACCAAAATCTTATGATATTGAATCATACATCTTTTTCTTATATGTTGGTCAATTATGATAAAAAGAGATTATATAGTATTGAAAGTAGAGATACATAACAAGACACGATTAAGAGCTAATACAATTTACATATACACAATATAGAAAATTTAATATTTACATTTTTACATTATATTGCAAATCTAAAATAAAGAAAATGTTTCAGAAGTAATACAACATAAAGTTACTCGAATTTCTTCAATCATTATGATGAACCACTTGTATTGGTACAAAATAATGAAAAAAAATGCAGACTAAAAGTACCTAGAATACAGCAATTATTTGAAGTACCCTTTCTTCTTAAATTATCATAGGGATAATACTGATTTACCACCACTAGAAAGATAATGGTACCATAGATATCACAACTATCACCACCATCATCAGTTTCTGACATCCCCAAAGAGGCAATATTAATAATCAGAACTGAATGGTTTGTATTTCTTGAGATCAAGCAAGACACCGACCACTGAGCCAAGACCAGCCACAATTGATACAATGAGGCAGACCGCACTCAACAATTGTAGAGAAATCCATCTCATGCTCCATTTTGGAATCTTCATTTGCAATATATACATCTCCACAGGAAAGTAGACAGTTAAAGGCCAAAACCCCAATGCTCCAATCACTCCCAAAACGTCGTTGAAGAATGGAAGCAACATTGATATAACAGTGGTTATGATCACAAACACTGTCCTCCAGACTAGGCTAAATATGTTCTGATTGTAGGGCTGCAAACCAGGAATTGAAATTTTGAATCCCTGGTCAATTTTGGGCCATCTTTTTGCTGTCTCCTTCTCGACAAAGGCAAAGAGGGGTTGGGCATACACTTGGTATGCTCCCACAAGGTGAACTACGATAGCAGCATTAGCAATATCTATAAGCCAATATAGTTTATGGAAACCAAATCCAGCAAGCAGGTTCCCAGGTGCTGAATCTCCAAAAGCAGCATAGCCCATGCAGCCACAAAGCATATAAAATGTTGTGGTCACTGCAATACTTAACTTTGCAGCCTTTTTCATTATTTTTACTTCGGATGGTGGAGATTTGATTGTATCCTGTGTAGTCATAACATTATGTATTAATAAGTTTGGTCAAAGCTTGTTGCATATCATATATATTCAACTATCTTCGCACTTCGGAGTTTGAGGCGAAATAGGAGCACAATAAATGAAGTCAAATAAGCTATAATCAGATGGGAAAAGTTGCTTAATTGTGATATTATATAGAAGTATATGGCACATTAATGAATTATTTTACATGATAAAATTCTATTTTGTTTTTCTTACAATCACAAAACAAGATGTACCTGAATTTCAAGGAGAACGAAGGAATATGAATAGGCGAAGGCTATGTTACCAAGAGCTTGAAAAACACCCCATACTTTTTGGGCCTCTGTCACAGTTCCAATGCTTATTCCAGTGAGGCTTCCCTTGAAAGTCCCCGTTTCTATTACAAAAAATGCTAAATGTAAGCAACCCATTTTAATTATAGATCAATTATACTAAGTACACCATGATTCTAAATTATACGTCAATTATATACCTTCTTGAATTGATAAGCTGAGCACATTGGCTTCCTACATAAGTTCTTTGGCATATATACAAGAGCTTAAATCACACTACTATATATGTTTTGATAAGGGTCAAGGGAGGTACGTCCACAAATGTGGAACAAGAAAAGGTCTTTTTTGCAATAAACCCATAATTGGAGGGGTTATGTGCCAATAAAATGTCATCCAAGAATTGAAAAAAATATTGTATCTAAGTGAAGTATATATATATGACCTACCTGTAATTTTGGCGATTCCTAGAACGAGACCAATTATGGAATAGGTGAAAGACATTACTGCAGCCACTATTGAGAGCCACCACATGTTATGAAAATCTGGAATTTGAGAAAAGAAAATTTGGATTGCCCCAAAACCGATCATATATGGGTTACTAGAAATATGACATGGGTTTTCTCCGTCAGAGGAATGGACACAGTGAGACCTCTTAATTGCCCTGTTAATCAAAACCAGCAAAATTGAAATAAACCGATCAAACTATGTAATCCTATCAGTAGAAAGAAATATTGTGAAGTGGCAATAAAGTGAATGAGCTATCGTGCTGCACGATTCAGTTGTTTTGCGTGAAACAGTTTTAGTACACCGTAATATGTAATTGTCATCAATTGAACTAATAATGTAACCTAACTTGATTGATTGAAATTTACTGAAGGATTGATAAAAAATCTATTTCAAGATGGATGTCCATATTTGGAAAAAATTATACATATATTAAAAAGTAAATTCATTAATAATTTATTTTAGTCATATTTACCTAATTTTGAAAATAGCTAAACCAATCTGATTTTCGGTTTTTTAATTTAAATAATTAAAATGAAGTTAATTAAAACCCATACAAATCTGATGCACGCAGTTAAATTAAAGATTATTTTAAATATATTAGTAATTATTAAAGATCAATTTCAAAATTTGATGATTTCAAAGACATACTCACATCATGCTAAGGGAAGCCGCAATTGTGTATCCTATTGCACTTCCGAAAAGATTCAAGTATTGAACTATCCCACAAAACGTAACACTGTTCCCACCTGCAAAATCAATCATAACGCATGTTATGGCACATTATAATTCCATGTTAAAATGATCGTGATTGCCAATATATATATATATATATATATATATATATATATATATATATATATATACACACACAGATATTACACAGATATCGATATGTTAATTCACAGGAAAGTTATTGAGTAACGTCAAATACAAATTTGCAAATTAGAAACTTTGAACGAAAGTGCATGCTGATACTGTCAAAAGGAAGTACTCAAAGTAGAAAACCAAATCATTTATGTTCAGATTTCAAAAAATATATCGTACCAAGAATGGTGCTAACTGCGTCCATGAAAGTATAATTTCTCTTCCCGAACATGGGATCACCAGTACGATAACAATCAGCTAGAAAGGATGAAGTATACAAAGTCACAATGCTGAATAAGATCAACACTGCAGGACCAGCAATCCAACCCATCTGAGCTATTGCCCAAGCTAAGGAGAGCACCCCAGATCCTACCACAGCTGTTATAATGTGGGAGCTTGTAGTCCAAACATTCCCTATCTCATAGTAAGGCATCAAATCATCATTCCAATCAATCAAAGAAAAAACGATAATATACAAAAAAATGCAATTAATGTGTGTACCTGTTCGTTTAAGACGGCCATCATCATCGAAGCATTCAGGGTCACTTTTTAAAGGCGCCCCATCTATTGAGTCATCCTCAATATCATAACGTCCACGGCAGCTAAGGTTTGTTCTCGAACCATTTTCTACCATCTTTTAACGGACAAGAGATCCAATACAGAGCAAATATAATTAAGAAAGTAGCTTATCAATCTTATTTTGTTCGTCCAATACTTGAGAGCTGCATTCAGAAATCACGGACAGACTATAAAAGCATGCACGAATAAGAAAGGCTGCTACAATACAACTATATGCTTCAGGTAACTTGAGTAATAATTGCATAGACCAGTTGTGCGATGAAAAGTGAGGGAATCTATAGGCGTTTAATTAAATTTTAAGGTATGGAATTGTTATGCAAAGTTTTCAAAGGGAAATGTGAAATAGCTAACATCTCTGAGTCAAAATTTTGCTATTACTATGACAAAGGATTAGAGGTTCTTACAAAAACCATATTAATCAACTTTACGCTTAATAAAGGACAAATGCTTGAAGCTTAAAGAAATTATTTGTAGAAAACAATCTAACTGTATCACTCCATATGAAGGAATCCCCAAGTCTGGCTTACAGCAAAAATATTCAAGAATATGAACTAAACAATAAAAAGTACAGGCCGGATTCTCGAATTTATGCATACAAGTACACTAAACCTAAAAGCATCCAAGTTATAGAGTTGTTCACAGTAAAGTAACTTTGCTATCAGTGACGTTCATATCTAAGTTGCAATACTACCAAGAAATTTAACACTGCTTAACCTTTGTTACAGTAGTTAGATATGTTACCCTGTTTTCTTTTCCTATTATATATTCTATTTAATGGTTGTATTTTATATTGGGCCTGTTACATCCTTGCATTCTGTTAGGAAAAGGGAGTTTGTCATTTATTCTGTCTCAGTTATAGTAGCCACTGCGATATTTTAGATCCTTTCTTGTTGTTAAGTAATATGGTATGGTCCAGTTAGAATAATAAAAAAAAAACAATTCTACCAAGATTTACCCTGATTGGTAGGAGTACTAAGATACATTAATTATATTTTGAAAAAATTGAGCCTTTTTCTATCTAATATGACCATATCATACTACTTAGAAGAATCAAATTCTGAACCACACTATTCTCATAATCTGAGTTTCTCCTCTCTTCTACAGCTTTCCTCTTTCTCTTGTTTTTCATTGCTCTCAGTCATAACTATATTATATTATTATTATAAGAAGAATAACAACACCAACCAAAACAAAGAAAAATAAAAATGAATGTTTTGCAGTATATACAACTACCACATGTTGGAATAATTGCAACATGATTAGAAATTAATACATGTTTATTGCTATTCATAAAAATTTATAATCACAGCACTACTTAGAAAGAGAAGTAAAAAATGATTTGATTATTCACGATACATTATATACACATTATAATTAGCAATAATTACAATAAAAAAAATTGATCATGTTATTACAAGACAAAATAATCCGATAATATAAGAGATATTAATAACAAAATATTAACGCAATTATTAGAGTTATAACTTTCTCTAACTTACTTAACATTTCCTAAACCTTTAAATTATTTTCTTATTAGATTTCAAAATTAATACATAATAAAATATTTCAAGAGTGAAAACCTGATAGTAAATGTTTATAATTGAAAATATTGGATGTCAAATTTTTTATTTTACCCTTTTACTCAAAATACTACATGTGAGAATTGAAAAAAAGAATGCGAATACTATTAGTGTTTTAATTATTCTAAATAATTTATCTTTATTTTTTCTAGATACTTTAATGAATCGCCATGCTTATTTATGAAATTAGGTGCATATATATTAAAAATAAGTAGATATCATTGATAATAATTGGCTAATTGAGCTGCATTAATTTAATTTCAGAATTGATTCAAACTAGTTTTACAAAAACCATTTGACAAAATTATTCAGTGCAAAATCATATTATCATGAAATGCAAAATAGAAAAATATAAAAATTATTAAATGAAATTGAAAGTGATTGTAATGCCAAAACTAAAAAAAAAAAAAAAAACTAACATCATTGCCAAAAGGTATAGATATTTTTTTAATTTAGGATTAAATGATAGAATAAATCTTAATACAACAACTAATGAAGTGGTATATGATATTTGAAAAGTAGTTAATTCATACATAATTGTCGCAGTGATCACTTAAAATAATAAAGAATTAAAAAAAAAGCATCACAAACTTAAATATAAAAATAAGTATTTAAAAAAAGAATCTAATATCATAACAGATTAACTTTGTTATCAAGAAGTAATTATTAATTCGCTGGTGTAAAAGCAATAACATTAAATATTTGTTTTAATTCGTTTAAAATAAATAATTATTAAATTTTGATTTGACTTAAAAAAAAAAAAAAAACTAGTCCTTCAATTGAAAGAAGGGCCACAAGCACCCACCAACCCAGTGAATAGCAAAGAAATAAATCAACATGTAAGTAATAGAGTCAGCATATTTTATGCTTCACTTTCTTTCTTTTTTTCTCGTCAATGTGTTATTTTTCTTTTTACTGAATATAAATCTATAATTATTGTTTTTATTTTCTTATTGAAACAACTTTACTTCCTTAATCCTTCGTATATGTACCGAAGAACCCACTTGACTAAATCCCTAATAAAAATCCAACCCACTAACTGAAAATACTAATTTCGTGGGAGAAAAAACAAACTAAACCACCAAATATCCTTGTTTATTTCAACCCACTAACTCAAAATAACAAGTCAAAATGTCCTTCACAAATTATCCCTAAGATAAAGAGAAACCTAGCGCATAAAATCCTAAGCTAAACCTAACTAGTAGCATGTCCATGTCTGATTAAGATAATGTTTAATAATCATATGCATAATCACTTGTTAAAAAACAAAATAAATTTATTTCATAAACTATCTTTAACTTGTAAAAGAAAGTAATTTTTTAATAAGTACTTTGATAAACTATTTAAACAAATCCTTAAAAGTTAGAGACTCAGAAAAAGGCAATCTTCCCTTTTGAAAATAATTTCCAGAAAAAGGCAGAGAAAGTGGACAACACGCAAATGGGCGGCGTTCACAACCATGTGATGCTAACAAGTTGAAAGTCAGAGACTCAGAATGCCCCAAATGAATGATAAAGAAAAAAAAAAATACAGATTACGATTGAATAAGAAATAAACTATTGAGATTATAAACAATAGTTAATTAATTTAATATATTTATTTACTTTATCACAAATTTAAATGGCGGATCTTAATTTTATGCCCTAAATTGTATAATTTAAGTTTACAGAATACAATTCCACCAAAATAAACCTAAGTGCTAAAAAAACCCAGGAAAACAACCAAGAGGATCAGGCCTAGGACATCGGACGCTGGTTCACGACGGGTTCAGCCGTGGAGAGGAAAGGGGTTCGGTTAGTTGGGTTTTACAGAGGGTGGCTATGGATATGAAAAATACTTATATTACAATGATTGAAAACACAAAACATGATTAAGGTGAATCCAATAAAAGAAAATCGATCAAAACCATGAAAACGAAATAATATAATTATCCTTCAAGCATTAATATGAAGCAATAGAAATCGGTAACAGAAGAGCACAACACACAAGGCACGAAGATCAAGTTGAGAAGAAATAAAAAAGGATGAAGAGAAAAGTGAATAACATCGATAACAATGGAAAGTTTACCTGAGTGTGGTGCGAATTGGAGAGAATATGTGGTGGCTGTGGTGTTATAGGGAGAGAGAGACGCGGATTTGCAGTTCCCTCTCTTCCCTTTCTCTCTGTGGTGAAGTCTGTCCAATTAGGTGCCCCCCTCCTTCCTGCTTTTCAAAATTACTGCTTCTGCTCATCTGCATCTATTTATAATCAGAACATCTTTTTTATTATTTACTTTTTTTTTTTTCAATGTAGATATTCATTCTCATTGACCACATTATAAATAATAATAATAATAATAATAATAATAATAATAATAATAATAATAATAATAATAATAAACAGGACGTAGTCTACATGGTAAATATAATATTAACTATAAAATATGTAGGGAATGAAAAGAAAACATTAAATAAAAAAACTATGCCAGAATTTTATTATATTTTAAATAGATCACATTATTTCATTTCTCTTATTTAAATTTGGAAATATTGATTTTATCCCTGTTATATTTAAAATTGATCTTTAGTTTATGTAGGTATAATTTCACACATTAACCAAATTACATTTCATTTACAGGATTGTCTACCCGTATAATTTTGCATTCTTATCTTCAAGTACTTGGTATTTTCCCTATGGCAATGTTAAGAAGAAAATATTTAAGCAAAGAAAAATTTTACAAATTATAGAAATTAAAAAGAAATGGAAATAAAATATAAATTTATTATAAATCTAAACTAGATATATATTCAGGTCAAATGTTAAATTTTATGGTAAATAAATAGTCAATTTACTCTTAAAAAACTTTAGTTTTTAGAATTAATGAATTTAAAAAGTCAAAAACTATATTTTATTAAACAACAATACAAATTACCAAGGTAAAACTTCAGATCTATTGGATCATAAAACCATTGTATGGAACTGTACCTAAATCTTTAAATAAACTCGTTAATTGATAAAAAATAACAAGCTTACTTGAAAAAAAAACACACACACACACATTCATACAATAAAAAATTACCTTATTAATTACTATATAAGTAAAATAAAACAATCTTATTTATGCTTTAATTAAATTTTTTATCAATTCATTACAAAAATAGTTAAATTTAAATAAGTTGTAGATCTTTATTATAACATTATTTTTATTTTAAATACTTGATAAAATAGTTTAAAGATAACTTTAAAAACTTAGCCTAATATAAAAAATATATATTTGTAAACACTTAAATCACAATTTAAAATTTTACTAGAAAACTAAAAAAATTATAAGATACTAAAAAAAAATTGAAATTATATTAGAAATTCAAATATTAACAAAACATATAAATATAAACTAACCAAGACATAAACAATGTAAAATATGTAAATTTTACATGAAATATCATACAAAATTTAAATTAATATTCATTCTGCCCCTCTTTCTATGTTATATATATATATATATATATATATATATATATATATATATATATATATATATATATATATATATATAATTAGAAAAAACGTGTGGAAGTAAATATGCACCTTATGAGTTGTAACAATCCAACTTGCAAATTTTAAATGGATGGTCCCATCAATACTTGACAAGAGATATTTTAACTTAATAATTGAGATGCCATATTTGTCACGTTTATTAATTTTCTTTAAATAAAGGTACGATTTTTGTTTTTTCTTTTAAATAAAGATAATATCTATGTTGTTTTTCTTTAAATAACTTTCAGAAAAGAATTTTAGTTAGGAGTTATTTTTTAATTGTTAACATATATATCTAGTGTAAAATTAGAAACTGTAGTTTAAATTAGATTGACATAATTATTATTATTATTATTATTACTATTGAGAAGACTGAAAGACTGTATTATTATTATTATTATTATTATTATTATTATTATTATTATTATTATTATTATTATTTAAATTATATTGAATTTTATTTTATATATTTTACAATAGGTTTTTAATTATATATACATATATTAATTAAAAAAAAAATATAGGTTTGCATAATCTTTGTAAGGTCAAAAGTTGAAGGTAACATGGAATAAAAGGATAAAATATCCTCCTCGACGAACAACATGTAATAAAAGTCTATATTGACAAGAGATAGTTCATTATTTATAATATTAAATTAAATTAAATTAAATATTTTATTATTTTTAAGAAATTGATAAACGACTCTTAAGAATAAAATAAATATTATCTATTATTATATATGCAACTTTTTTTTTCTGGTCATCTTTATTGGTGTTTCCTAATATATGGTAGTGTTTGGTCATTTATGTTTAAAGATTTCTCTTACTCGCCTTCTACTTATATTTTTTATTATCATATCCCCTTCTAAAAAATGGTTAGATTCTGATATCATATTAGACATAGACTTTTTCTTATCCAGACAATATAAATCTCCTCAGGCATAATGACATCATCCCTCGGCTAAAAGCTCACTCAAGTTCTTATTTCCTATAAGAAGAGTTTTCTGCGGTAAAACGATTTCAGGGATCAGAAGCTTTTTGATACATAAGATTCTCATAAGAGACAAGTGTAGAACATACTTGCATCTAAGTGGGGAATAATAATAAGAACTATAAGCTTCGAACTTTCAGAAAAGAGAAAACCTAGAGAGGGAATATTTTTAGAAAGAGAACTTGTAATGATCTTTGTTGGTTTTGTTCTGAGTTATAACATTACAAGTTCTTCCTATTTATAAGCAAACCACACAAGCAAAATTCAAACTTACGGTAAACTACAATGAACTTCGGACCCGAAATATCATACAAAGTGGAATATGAAGATAGGGTTATGACCCACACTCATAATGACCTTACAAAAAGACAAGATAGGATAAAATATTTTACAAACAAGATAAGATGCGATACGATATCCCACTGACAAGATAAGTTGTGATAATATATTTTACAGCTAGGATAAGATACCATATCTCATCAATATAAAGTAAAGTTGATTCGGTCTCATCTTCATTAACATGTTTGCGAAGATCGCATTGGACATGTGTAAAGATAAGAGAATCGTGCTTTAGTAGCATGTCATAATGACAACCATTAACTAAAGCCTTTACTTCAGTCAGATTTGGTGAAACCAAAATGATTCATATGCGGCCTTGCTTGTTGTTGTCATGCTTCCATGTAGTGGGTCCCAGTAGGGATAGATTGCTTGTGTGCCATCATTTCATCCATCAATTTCTCATTGTAATCATTCGCTAAGTCTTCAACCTTTTGGAATTCTTCTTTAGGTACGTAGATCTCTATTGTTGATTTAAATAACCTTATCTGTTGAGATCCATCTTCTTTTGGGACGATCCTATTCAAAGGATAAGCACTAAGCGGTCTTTGGTATGAACTGGCGATGTTGGGGTCCACTGGCTTGTGATGGTAGTTGTTGACTTCACAAAGGTGTAGTGCCAGTTATGCCTGGTAACTTTCTTCAAGTGGATAGGTCTCGAAGTTGCCCCAGATCTAGGCTTCATTCTTGACCATAGTTGATCTATTGGATTTAGAAAGTATGAACGGTGTATGATGAAGATCGTGGTTAGATATTTGAGAGAGTCTTCAATAACTCCCCTTTTCTTCTGAGAGTCTAGGATCTTCTTGAGTTATTGTCTCCACCAAGATAGTGGTGAGAACCACTCGAGTAGATTCAAGAAGTGGAAATTTTCCTTGTCAGAATCTGTCAAAATTCTATAGGCTTGTTGTGTCTTTAATGCAATGGGTATGGAATATTGAACAGTGTTGTACCATATAGTCCACAATGTTGGCTCACAAAGGTCCCAACCAGGGTCACAAAATAATTGAAAAATTCAATGTTGGCTCAGGGTTAAACACGGAGGCTGAGACAATTTTGTATTTCATTGTTTCATGGAGAAAGTAGAAATAGTGAGACTTTGCATAGTGGAGGATATCGACTGGTGTGGTTGGGTTTAATCTGGAAGGATAAACTTTGACAGTTTTGACTTTTGGTAGAGAGAGGATTGGCCATGAAGATAAGGGGAATACTATAGGTGTCAGAAATCAATTGGATAGTCTTCTTAGGGTCTGGACAAAAATTCAGGGACTGTGTTTAGGTTTCCTTTAATGTGCTTAACAGTAAAATCATATATGGAAAACTAGTCCATTAGCCGAAGAATCTGAGGACTAGGAGACATCTTGTTCTGAAACTCTAGGATCTTTGGGAATGAAAAATTGTCCATTTGTACCTCGAAGTGATGTCCCTTGAGATGGAAGTCAAATTTCTTAATTTCATTCTTGACGACCAAGGCTTCCTTAAAAGTAGTATGGTAATGTTTCTCAGCATCCTTAAATTGTCCGTTGGCATGACCACATTAATACCCTTTTCCATTGTCTTCTTCAAGCAATGCTTCCAAGTAGTCATCATTGGCATCAGTTTGTAGTGCCCTTTTTCCG